AAGAATTTTACACCTTGATTATCATCAAATAAAATTAATTCGGCTTTTTTGTTTGTTTCTAAAGTCTTGAGTGCTCTAATTAATACTTCCGTATCCAGCCCATGAAATTCTGAAAATATATAATCGATGATGTAGTTCTGGTTTTTCTGACAAGAAAACAATTTTTTAAAGAAACGCTTACCTTGATCCGCTGTATCTTCTCCTTGTGTTAATTCAAACAAAGTACACACAGATCCGGAGAATCCTTTATCTTGTGCCCAATTATAAATCATCTCGCCCCATTCTTCTAAAGTATGCCAATAAACCAGCCATCTTTGTTTATTTTTATCTAATGGACTGGCATTTCCAGACTTTGCTAATTCTTCTAACACTAATGATATAACTTCGGAAGGTAATTTTCCTGACACACGTTTTGAGGAAAAATAATTTACAATCTTATTTACGAGTTGTTTTCGCATACAAAATATGAAAACCTTACAATTTTATGTATGAACTGCTTTTATACGAAGGATACGATTAATTGCAGCATTATTGAACAATGGACTCGAGTGTATTTCTCGAATATCTATAGTGGACTGCTTTGTCACACGGTAATATTCTAATATTAATCCCTTCCATGCTGCTATTTGTTTAGCTCTAGTATCTGAATGTGGTTGGAGACTAAAAAGTTAAAAAGTGGTACAATATATAACAATAGATAATAGCCGATTATAAACAATTACTAGATACTTTTGAATATGATATTAGATAAACGAGTTAGAATGAAATCATTTTTACATTTTCTTATGCAAGGAGTGAAAAATTCGACGAGGAAAATATTTTACACGTGATATATTTTCTTAAAAATTAACTTAAACGAGAAATATATCAATGAGTGTAATAATGTTTAACCTCAAACTGTCATAAACACGTTTGTGTTCTGAGTTTTTACGTAAATATGTTTCATTCACTTTAATATCAAATATAATAATTTGAATTAAGGTTTTTGTTGAAAATATGTACACTTAATACACTTAATACTTACGTAAAAAACGGAGGGAAACTGTATTGCCACGGCCACTCGATTTCTGCCATTCTGATTCTGATTGAATGGAAATGTCTGACTGGCAAAACAGTTTCAATTTCAATTTGACAGAATCGATCTGGAAATACGCAGTAGTGCCATCTGGTGGTTCTAACACAGACCTGGGATTCGTACAGACATTGCATCTTCTGGGATTTTCTGTCTCAGCTTTGGAGGTCTCTAGAGCCACCGTACCATTTCCCGTAGCGATCTGCATTACCGATAGTTCACGAAAAATAGGCACGTTAGCAAGAAGCAAATATCTTGTATATTTCATTTCTACTACGAGTACTGAATATTATTTCCAGGCAATAAGCGTGTACGGCGCGTATATTTAAGTACATACAGTAATTTTTCCCAGAAATGTTCGGAAGTCGGAACTGAAACTCGCAGATCTGAGAATACTAAGTCGCGATTCTTCGAGCCTCGCGGCTCGTTTTTACAGAAACTTGGGGCAGTCGGTAAATTAAAGGCAGTGGCTACATTAATATGAACATCTTCGGCTCGGCGGACCACAGGCGCGTACTGTAGTAATTATTTATAGCTAATTAGGGCGATGTGCTCGTATCAATATATTTCCACATCATCCATCATTGCTTTACTTTTTCAACGACGAAGCAACGAAGTCGTGAACTAATGTAGAAAAAGTATAAAAAACACAATTACATTCCTATAAATTAATTATCAATGAATGCAGCATAATGACATAATTTATGATCGGGAAAAAAAGTGAAACAAACAAAATATGTAAATCCTTACACTTTATTTACAAATCATACAAATGCATTTGTTACAATCTTATAATACTCTTCTTCTATTTAGCTCGGCATCATCCTCGACTTTCGGCTTTCAAGTGCAGAAGGGGGCTCTGATTCTTTCAAAGCGACATTGCCATTGAACCAGGATGGTCTCGCTCGTTCTCGATGTTTAACGCTTTCCCATGAGAAATCTTGATTCAAAGTTACACACCTCCTCCTCCCACTTTTGGATTTTTGGTGGTCACTTCCTTCCTTATCATCCCGCTAGACCGTCTTACATGTTGAAAACAGCTAAGGAGAAGAGATCTTCCCACAAGAAGGAGGGGGCCCATATATACGTTAGTGTCGCCACGTTGTTGTTCAATGCAGGACTGCCACAGCAACAGGACTGTGTTGGAGTCAAGAACGAGATGTGAACAAGTAGAAGCTAACGCAATAATACTCGATTGATTGTATACAGCGATTCGGGTACCTCGGGGACGCTACATCCCGTACTCACTTCTCAATGGGCTCATAATTGAGAGCGAGCCCCTGAGGGACCACCGATCAAAGGGTGTGTAGAGGTGTGGTGACACAGTCATGACAATTACGAAGATCAGGATTCGAACCTGGATCTTTCGCTTGTCGGGCAATTGCTTTAACCAATTAAGCTGTGCCAATTGACCGACAACACATTCTCTCCCATGTCCTTATAAACACAAACAGCACACGTTAGAAATATGCCGGACTCCTACAGACGAGTCAGCGATCTGCATTACCAATTGTGGCCATTACCTCCAGACCCGCCAGCAGATGGCTCCTCTTCCCGCTAGCAACCGATCCGCCTCGATTCCTATATATACAGGTTTCGTCATTCCTGCCGACACCCCCACGTCTAAGATTTAGAATTAAGCTTAAAAATTTTTAAATTACGATGCGAGCTCTCCGATTTTGTTAAAGGCTTTTGGGGAGCAAGACTGAAACAGATATATTTGCGTCATTTTTGTGCAATGCAATAATTAGTTTAACGAGGGGTAATCTTCCGATACTCCTCCGACTAATAAATAATAATTTGTAGACCTAATGTTCATCTATACATTAGTATTGCGATATTTTATAAGAACTTTTCGTTTATTTTTATAGTTATTTTTAAGTTCTGCTATAATTCTGTATGCCTTATAAATAAAGCAAATATCTTGTATATTTCATTTCTGCTACGAGTACTGAATATTATTTCCAGGCAATAAGCGTGTACGGCGCGTATATTTAAGTACATACAGTAATTTTTCCCAGAAATGTTCGGAAGTCGGAACTGAAACTCGCAGATCTGAGAATACTAAGTCGCGATTCTTCGAGCCTCGCGGCTCGTTTTTATAGAAACTTGGGGCAGTCAGTAAAAAAAAGGCAACGGCTACATTATTAACCCCTTAATGCACAGTTTTTTTTAAAAAGGCCGGCCAAAAAAGATCGATTTCTTTTCATGTAAAAAAACACAATTTAGAACGTTGTCTTGGCAAGAAAATTACAAAAATACAAAAAGAATCAAAATTTTTATTGCAATTTTGGATTTTACTATTATTATTATTATTGTTATTATTATTATTATTATTATATTTTATTTTACATTATACTTTAGTAAAATATATATTGAAAAATGAGCGAATCAGAATCTGAATATGAATACGCTGTCGGAAAGCGGCTCACAAGGAAGAGATAAGTCGTAAGTGATAAGTAGAAAAAGGATATATTTTATACTTGAATAAGTAAGTGTTATAGCTTACAATCCCATGTAAATGATAAATATCGATAAAACGATTGTTTCTTTTTTGCTTTCACATTGTTATTTTCAATTCTCGACTGCATTCGAGTGTGAAAAATTATAGCAACATAAAGTACAACACCACTCGAATTATCTCGAGTGTGCACAGTTTGGCCAGTTTAGAGTTAACTCGAGCGTGCACGTTAATAGGTTAATTGGCGTATACATGACAATGAA